TTCAGGGCAATACTAAGGAAATTTCTCACTTGACAATGACTTCTGAATAGACTGCACTGTCTCTGGAGGCACATGGAAGCCACATGCCAGTGCAGCTCGAGCTGGCCGCACCCGCGGGTGTGCTGAGGCGGCCCCGCCGCGCCCCGCGTGCTTGCTGCTCTCTGAGGACGGAGGCCAGCGCAGGAGAAGCGCAGCGGCACAGGTCGTGGACCCGCTGCTTTCCGTGGGAACGTCGGGAAGGCTTGCTCTCTAGTTTAAGTTAGTCCTAGTTACGAGTAACAGCTTCTTTTTCTGTTTGTTTTTCCCTCAGTTGTTTTTATCAAGTCATTAAATAAATCTTTAAATGACCAGGTGTTCTTATTTTTAAAAGCCTAGGGCCGGGGATATAGCTCAGCGGCACAGGCGCCTGCCTGGCGAGCGCAAGGTCTTGAGTTTGATTCCTGGTACCAAAAAAAAAAAAAATCAAATGATCGTGCCGGGGATATAGCTCAGTGGCGCGAGTGCCTGCCTGGCAAGCATGAGGTCATGAGTTCAATTCCTGGTACCAAAAAAAAAAAAGCCCAGCAACACGTGTTTTCCATGCAGAAATCATTCTTGAGCATCATAATTTTAAAATCAGAGTGGGTAAGAGATTATCTAGTTACCTGATTTTACAAACGGGAAAACTAAGGAGCAGGACACAACATGAGAGAGTCTGCCACAGGTCCCGCCCTTAGCTGTGGTTGGGGCACAGGCAGAGCGCGGCACGGATCTCAGCAGGCTTCCCCGGGCAGTGCCGGCACCAGCTCGCAGAGCCGTGAACCGCACCGTGCAGGGCCGGGTTTCTCGGTGCATCGCGAGACGGGTTAGTACAGCAACCGCGGCCGCTGGCGAAGACTTCCTGAGCGCAGCCCCGAGAGAACCCCCATGCCACACACAGTGCCCCACCAGCATGCGGAGCGCAGCCGCTTGGCGTCTGGAGCCCAGGCCTCCTCCCTGAACGTGCATCTGAGGCCGGGTCTCCGCAGGAGAGCAGGGGATTGGCAGTGCCAGAAGCTTTGCATTTTAAGTGCCACTTGTGTCGCCTAACTGGTGTGCGGCTGTGGACATACCAGCTTACCTGCTGCTGGGTCTTCATTTTCCCACCAGTGAGATGGCAGCAGCGCCTGTGCTTACACACGAGGGTATTGTGTTTATCACGTGTTGTGACTGTAATGCCAACATTTTTTGAGCGTTTACAATGTACCAGACAATTTATCAATTGAAAAAACGAAATACTGTGCAGATGGTCTTCTTAAAAAAAATTACCCAAGAGCCTGTACATAAACTTTTCATTTATTGATGAGTTATTTTAATTTTATATATACTTAATTTTAATTATTTACTATTTTTTATTTTTTAACTCCCCAGGACTGGTGGTCCTGGGGATTGAACCCAGGACCTTTTTCTACTTTTTATTTTGAGACAAGCTCTCACTAAGATGCTAAATTGCTCATACTGGGCTCAAACTTGTGGGTGATCTTTCTGACTCAGCCTCCCAGCATGCTGGAATTATAGGCATGCACCATGATGCCCTGCTAATATACTTTTAATTTTGTAGTTTATATTCTCAAAATATTGTCTCCTATTTCCCAATTTTTTTTACTTTTTTAAACTAAAGATTGTTTAAGCCAGGCATGGTGGTGCAGGCCTGTAATCCTAGCACTCAGGAGGCTGAGGCAGGAGGATCCTTGTGAGTTCAAGACCAGCCTGAGCTACAAAGTGAGCTCAAGGCCAGCCTGAACTGCATAGCGAGACCCTGTCTCAAAAAGACAAAAAAGAAAAAGTTAATTGAGTGCTTGCAATTAGTTCTGTTAATTACTTTTATATTGCTTGTACTGTAATAATTTGAAAGATAATTTTAAACTCTCAAGGTAGATCATTTTAATATTCATGTTCTCAAAACTTATGAAAATCAGGCAAAACATAGTATACATGATTGAAAATGTGCTGCCTTTGGAGCAGGTTTAAAAAACATAATTGGATCCACCTAAGCTTTGTTAAATGTTGGACACATTAATAAAGAGACCTGGTCATATTTGGAACTGGGCTTCCTTCTTACCAACTACTTCTTTTGGTGGGGGAGGCATGGGGAATACTGGAAATGCAACTCAAGACCTCATGCTTGCCAGGCAGGCCCTGTGCCACTGAGCTATATTCCCGGCCCCCTTTACCAGCTACCCTAAGTAGACTAATTAACACACATACACACACACACACACACACAGGGAAAAAAAATCTTCAAAATTAAAAATTATTAATAACATTAAAATTTCAGATGAAAATATTTATTTCAGCAAAAGATACATTATATATTTTGTTTTTGAGAGGGTCTTGCTATGTAGTTTAGGGTGGCCTTAAACTCACTTTGTAGCCCAGCCTGGCCTCAAACTCGTGGCTGTCCACCTGCCTCAGCCTCCAGAGCACTAGGCTTTCAGGCGTCCACTACCACACTTGGCTCATTATTATAAATATTAATGTGAGGAAATGTATAGAAGTCAACACTACTTAGTATTTTAATATCAGCACATAGAAATGATTTTAGTCTTCAATGATTTAATCCTAATGTTAATGTCAACAATTGATATACCTAAATGAAAGAATCCTCCCGTTTTGTCAAGGCTGTTATTTTCCTAGAACTCCAATTAGTTGGAAAACTTGATCTTACTACCTATAGAGTTCTAAGCATTGTTGGTGATTAGATTGTCTTATGTTGAGGTTAAAAAAAAGCTCAGGATGTGCTGGCTCTGTGCATCTGTTTTGTTCTTGTCCGAGAGAACGCCCTGTCTGCCCACAGAGGAGGCTCAGTGGGGAGAAAATCGAGGGCAGGAGCAGGAGGTATTTTGAGAGATGTTAACACTGCAGATATGGAAAGGACTGGACAACTTGGTTAACAAATGAGCAAAGGATCCCAATAGATCTTTCTCGAAAGAAGACATACAACTGGACAACACATGTGCGAAAGAATGCTGAACATCATTAATCATCTGGGTAATGTAAATTAAAATCACAATGAGATCATCTAACACCTGTCAGAATGGCTATTATCAAACAGACAAAGGATAAGTGTTGGAGGAAAAGGGACCCTGCGCACTGTTGGTGGGAATTGTGAACTCCTGCAGCTGTTGTAGAAAACAGTGCAGAGGTTCCTCGGAACTTACAAGTAGAGCTGCCGTGTGCGGCAGTCCTGCTTCTGCAGGGTACCTGGGCCGCGTGATACCGCGGCGTCCCGCACAGTAGCCGAGATGTGAAGTCAACCTGCGTGTTCCTCAGCAGACCAGTGGGTAGGACGGCACGCCGCACAGCTGAGGGCGTCCACCCCTTCGGGAGCGGGGAAAGCCCATCACTGGCCACAGCGTCGTACTGGAGGGCGTTTTGTGACTGAAATAAGTGGCACAGAAAGTGCCGCGGGATCCCTGGTGGCTGTTGTCGGTCGTCGTCGTCGTCGTCGTGGTCCCACGTTACTGTCACCATCGTCATCTGAATCCGTGCTGGGTAAATGTATTACTAGTGTATTAGGAGGTGCTGGGTGCACACACCCTCCTTTAACCCAGGAAACATTCCTCACATGGTGGGCTGGAATTAATTTCAAAATCGGGAACCGGGGAGCAGATTTCAGCCCCTTTGTGAAGTGACCGGATCGGAATGGACCGCACTGAGTTTGAACAGTGCTCTGTGTTCTGAAAGCTGAGCTGGCTACGGATTTCTGATAAGATATGCAATAGTCACAAAACCGCCCTTACAGAATGTTCCTTGCAGACATGTTTCCTCACCTGTGCAGGTGGAAAGGTGCCCGTGTGACTCCCATGTTCTCGCTGAAAATGGAGACAAGTAGGTGAGAAGAGCCACCAGGTCCTCCCGTACGTCAGGCCATGCTTGTTGTGCAGTCATCCTTTGCCCTCGGTTTCTCTTAGTGTTTGTCAGAGGCACTTCGGGGTCGGCTGTGGCTTCGCGGCCATCCGGAAGTGCACGTCTGTTTGCCGAGCCCCCCTGCACTGCTTCCGCACACCACACCGAGAGGGCTCGGTCCCGACCTTCGTGTTCTCCACGGAAGCGTGCACGCTGCGAATTCTGTCTCACTGTTTCTGAAGGCAGTATTTTCTTCCCGTGCGACTGCCTCCTGAGGGTCACTGTAAACAGATGCCCCTGTGTGTTTAGGGCCCCGCACGCTGTTTACAGCCCTGCTGCACTGGTGTGAGCAGTAGCCGTGCCCCAGAACCTCGCAGCCACAGCAGTTCGTGTCCCGCTGTGGCCCCTGGCTGTCCAGTGTGCAGACTCTGAACTGCAGCGGGGGTAAATCGGATTTTCTTTGCTCGGGTTAATATTTCTTTGAGATTTTATAGCATTTGTAGAATATTTTAAAATTATAACACTAATGCTTGTATTCATATGAGCAGTAATTTAGATTGTCTTCATAAATAATTTGCTTTATTGTCATTTAACAGAAATGGAGAGATGGTAACTTTCATGGAGATTTTACTGACTTGTCTGTGTGCCTTAAAATATCAAGTTTCTAAATGACTATCATTTTAGCAGTTTGTTCAAAGAAAATTAAAACTTTGATGGAAGATGAGCTCAGGAGATTAGGACAGTGATTCAGGTGTACTTGGCATAGCAGTTCATTAACTGTGTGTTAATTATGTATGATTACTCCTGGAAAGCTGCAGTGGCTTCGTCATTTAGGTTGCTTCATTAAATCATTAATTTTCTTGGAGGTAACCAGGCCTGACATAATTAAGTCATCTCAGTCTCCACAGATTTTTATCTTCCATGATGTCGAGAGTACTAACCCTGTTAAGGCTGTGACTTACTCCCTTTTTGTATTGATTTAGACGTTAGCATTATTTATACCAGCTTGACACATTTGCTTTACGTACTCTTGACGCATGTGTATCTTGTAATTGTTGACTTCCTATTGTAGCGTAGCTTTGTCCTCCTTTGTCACGGCCCATTCATGTGTTCCAACCACTTCTCACCAACAGCCACTTGACCCATGGCTACATGAAGCTGCTTGAGTTTATCAAGAAGATCGTTTCTGAGGAAGGCGTTGATGGATCCCATCCCCAGGTATTGTATTCCTTCAGAGCCTTTTCCAGCCACGCACAGAATGCTGTTTTCGGATTCTCCAGGAGCAGACCCGGAAGTCTTAGGGAATCCACGGGGCGCGGGCTGTTGTCAAGCACCAGCCGGTGGATCAGCAGACGGGCGGCCTGGGCCCCACGCCGGGTCTGTTCGGGTTTGGCTGCGTTCTCAGGGGTGCCAGAAGATCCACGCATGTATTGTCAACACTGTTTTTAAATGGCTGTTTGTAGCTTCTGGGATTAATAAACAGCTACATTTTGAAAACGACTTTTAACCTGCAACATTTGAAAATTTCTGTGGAAATTTTTCATGTTTTTGTCGTTCAGGCCTTAATTTCAGATTACCTTACATGTAAGAATTATCTTAAAATTTTATCTTTTATTATATAATTGTTTCACTGAGTAGAAGATACATTTTTATTGCTACATTAAAATATTTTATAGCTTAACTCTTCTCTGTAGCTCTAATTTTAAATACTTTTTCCATTTCCCAGTAATAAAAATCCTCTATTAGTTTAACTTAAACAAAATGAGGAAAATTTTATTTTGAAATACCATGCCTTTTAAATTTATTTCCCAGTAATTTAATTGCATTTGCAACTGAGAGATCTGCACCACACTTACATTATTTTAGCAGAAATTTTCCACAGCACCATTATTTTTATTGACAAAGACAGAGAAGCCAAAAACCTTATTTTTGTGATTCTTAGCTACATCCACTGTCAACTCACAGATTGTAAAATATTCCCGTAAACTTTATTGCTGTACTTAGCAGTTTCTCCATGATAAAAGAAATCATTTTTAAATTTGTTTCGACTAGCAGTCTCGTAGGACGTTGGAAATAGCCCTGTGCACTTGGTGAAGCACAGACACGCTGTGCTGGCCTCCGGCTTTCCGTAGAATTTTATTTTGCTCGCTGTGGCACCACATTGGCCCTCGCTGCGGTGCTAAGATTGTGGGTGCCCTGCCTCCCTGCTGCCAGTGCTCGTCTGGAGAGGTAAATTGGTCCCTGACAGACACCTCTCCCCAGTGCACGGTAACCATGGAAACAGGCATGTCATAACAGTTCCTGCGGCACAGTGTGCAGGGCTGCTACTCGTGCAGGGTGGAGGCACATCTTCTGAGAGCAAGACATTTTATAGAGTGCAGAAGAGTAGAGACAGTGACAAAGGGCTGCACACACACGTGGAGATACACCAGGAATCCCGAAAGAGCGAGCTAGCACTGGGGTGGACGCTTTGTGATCTTAATTGTTTGCTTCAATATGAAAAGAAGCACCATTTTCAAGGAACAGTACTTTCCTTGAAAATCAGTAAACAACCAGCGAGCTGTCTTGATTCTCTGCACTGTTAATGGTCATAAAGATTGAACAGAGTTGAGGTAGACATTTCTGTGGTGAATACCAAGAGTGCTTGACTTCTTAAATTAAAATAAACCAATAGACTATTATAAAAGTACACCTCTCATTTTACTAAAACTAAATATAGTTAATAAATGTCCACATCATGAAATTTTAGGTTGTATTGTTTGTTGAATTACTGAGTCTACATCAGTCTCAGAAACTTCGGATGCACTTAAGAAGGCATAAAAAGGCATTTATTGAGCATTCCTTTAAAAAGTACATTCTCAGAATTATATCTTGACACAAATCCTACTTTTAAAAGGAAATTTTTATCTTACCTATCCTTGCAATTCCAAATAAACTGAACTAATTGGAGGTAACGAGTAGAAAAACAGCCTGAGGAGGAGAATGTTATACTGTACCGTAGAATGAACTTACGTGCTAAATTCCGTAGTGTAGCTCATTTGTACAGACCTCCGGGGTGGAGCCCTTTACAGCTCGCTGGCACAACATCTCTGTTTTTAAGTTGGGCTTTCAGATCTAAGAGATACAGTACAGTAAAAATAAATTTGAACGCTGATTTTACTTGGAGCGCTAGATTCAATATGTTAAATACTCACAAGGGAGAAATGTATTTATTGTGCAGCTGTCAGCAGAAGTTTTTTTTTTTTCCAAACCTAATCATCCCACACAGTACGCGCACTGCTGGATGGTGCAGCAAGGGGGTTCAGTGTCCCAAGTGCCGCAGGAGGCTATGATTGGGTCTTGCTCTCCACTTACCGTCATAGTTTTAAAAACCTTAACTACACTGTCGTGTTGAAGTGTTAAATTCAGTTGTACTGCAGTCTACTGTGCACCTTCTGACTCGAATGTCTTCTCACTCATTCACTGTCCGACTTCATGTTTCCCATTCTTCCTACTGGTGTATGTCAGCGCACCTGAACTTCTGCCCCTCCGCTGGTTGCGCACTTAGCAGCATTCTGGTTACAGACTTTCTGCAGGTCCTGCCTGCGTCCAGTAGGCGATGGGGGCCGGGGCCAAGGTGAGAGAGCACCATCTGTAGTTTCTGAACAGCGGACCCGTCAGCGTCAGCCTTCATTCTGACCTCTCGCTGTTTCGTGGGGCAGCGGGAGGCTTGGCTTCCTTTCCCAGGCTGCTCTTGCTGTGGGGCGCTGAACTTAAGCTGGTGGACAAGAAAAACCAAGCTCAGAAATGACAAAATGACATTTTTGCCATTTTACTTACATTTTGAAGTTCTAAGTAATAAAAAAATGAGTATCCTCACATATTTTACAGATATCTTGCACAGATTTGCCAGGGACATACTTGTCCTTCCAGGATGTACCTTGGTGTGTCTGTTTGCTTCATTTCACTGAAGTAATGCAGAAATAAAAATAAAACTGTTCGTGGACGATCAAGACCCTAGCCTGCATCTGCTGGGCCGTTGTCTATGCTGTTGGTGACACTGTCCGAGAGGGCATGGACAGCCTCCTTGACGCTGCCTTAGTTCTGGTTCTTGGTGTCAGGAAATTTTTTCTAACATGCTTAGAAAATTCCTTTTTCTGTTACCTCACTTTTATAGTCTATCGAGGCCTCCAGGGCCTCCGTGTCCCTTTGTATATTCCAAATAATTGCATGGAAGTAAAGGACAGTGTTTATTTATTCTACCCTTTTAACTTTATAGATGAGAAAACTTCAGCTGAAGGAATGGGTAGTTGACCCTCTGTTGCGTATGCCTGGATGCAGTCAACTGCAGGTTGAAAATCCATGAAAACATTTTCCTCTGTTCTCAACATAGAACCTTGCTTTCCTTGTCCTTATTCTACAAACAGAACAGTGCGGCCCCTGTTTACGTAGCAGTTACATCGTATCGGGTACAGTGCCTGAAACCTAGAGCTGATCTGAAGCCCATGTGAGATGTGCCTGGGCTCTGTGTGAATTCTGAGTCCCTCACACAAGTACAGGACTCTCACATCCACCGACTCTGGCACCTAGCGTCGCGCCTCCGGGTGCCAAGAGCTGCCCGTGTGTGGTGCCCAGGATCGCACTGTGGGGCTCTGTTACTCAGCTCACCTAGCCACTGTCCTGTGGGTTTTCCTCTCCTAGCATTTGTGTGTTTTGTTCATTCTTCCCACGTCTACTTGTCAATAAATTCTCCCTGAAAAAAGTACACACACTCAATTTTCATTTGTAGTATCAGGGAAACAGATACATTATGATGGACCATAACTAATTGCTAATAAATGTTAGACATGCTATTTTACAGCAACTGCCAGTGGCCTATTTTAGGATCTGGTTTCATCAGAAATTACATTTATAGCAACACACATCCCAAATATGACTTTAAGAAAGGAACATCTTTTTTCCCACGAGAATTGTAGTAACGATTTTCCATGTGTTCACATGTGCCAGTTTTTGTTAACACCTCTTTCTTTTGCCCAGAAATTTTGCTAGATTGCTAAGGAAAGCATTGAGAAAACATTTGTTCAGCCAGAATAACCCAAACAGTAGAATGTACTATAAACACGTGTTGGCAAACACTTACTGCAGTCATCCTGGCTTTTTAAAAATATTTTTAAAATGTTTGTTCCCAAGAAATACTGGTCGGTATTATTGGGACCTTAATATTAGTAGCTTAAGCTCTAACTATTTGCCTGTTAAATTTTATGAAAAATTTTGAATTTAAAATATTTTTATAAAAATAGCTTCAAAAAGAAAAACTAGAGGCAAGTGTAAAGTGTAAAACCAAAAAGTTTTACAAATATCTTTCACAAAGGAGCAGGTATAAGTCAGAATAATTTAAATGAGAAATACGAAGAAATTTATAGTTTATTGAAAAACAATTTTGAATTCTAAGAATGGATTTGTAAACATTTTAGATTTCACCGATGATTTCTAATATACCGTTTTAACTTTCTCAAACATAATTCTTAAAGAATCACTGTTAAAATTTAGAGACAATTTAAAGCTTGAGACATATTCTTTAAATTTTCTAAAGCTGAAAAAGTTTAGTTGTTATATTCAGTAATTAATTAATTTAGAGACAGGGTCTCGCAGCGCTGCCAGGCTGTCCTCGAACTCCTGGACTGACTTGTCCTGTGGCCTCAGTCTCCTGCGTGACTGGGTCTGTAGCAAGCTACCCTGGCTGGCTTGGTTCTGTTGTTTTTATTTTCTTGTACTCTTGCAGTATTGCCTGTGTACTTCCTTATTACTGTTACTAGGTATTTTTTGTGTATCTGTTGACACTGTCTTCCTGATGTTATAAATAAGAGCTAGCAGATAAAAGAGATTGTCTTACTGATTAACAAAACCTTACGTGTTTACCTCCATCCCATTTTCTTTTAGAAAAAAACGAAAAATATCTTAAGAATAGGGATTCAGAGCCTTGGCTCACCCTTATGGGGTGATGACGCTTGCTGTGCAGAAGCCTGTGACGACAGTCACAGCCTCACCAAGTTCCTCTACGTCCTCCGCGGCCTCGTGCGAGCCTCACTCTCAGCCTGCCTGGTCACAGTGCCAGCACACCTGATCCAGGTAAAACCTCTCCCTTCCCCGAAGTGGCAGAAAGCTGGTGTGACATAAAGGTTAATTTCATCTCCTTGATTACTGCTGATGTTGGCTGCCTTTCATGTGCTTGTTCACCATTTTAACATTTTGCCCAATTTTAGTCATCCAGTTGTAAAATTTCCTATGTATTTTAGCTATAATTCACAGTAATTTCCTTCTGCCCTATGACTTGCCTTTTCTTAATGGTGTATTTGTGGGGAGCCAAAGTGATAAATCTTGATGAGATTGAATTCATCTGTTTGTTTTAGTGGCTAGTTCTCTCGCATCCCTTCCATCCCACCAGTTTTTGGCCTCGCCAAGACCTTTTTCTCATGTTTTTTCAACATATTTTGTAGTCGTTTCCTGTACTAATGGATCAGTATATTCCTATTTGAATTTTTACACAATTTAAATTCATGTTCTCACATAGCTTTTGGTTGCTTAATATTCTAATTATGGTTTCATACTTTACACTCACCCATTCTCTCTTTATTATTGGTACTATTTATTAAGCTACTTATTGTCTGCCTCAAACGTGTTCTTCATGTACTGCAGTATCTAATACTCAGGTCCAGAGTGTGCACCTCCGTTTATAGGACCCCCTGATAATACTGTAGGGTTTAATGTTACAGAACTTCTTAGCAGTACCTGGGCTTTTCCTAGTGTTCAATACAGGTAAAGTCAATGAATGTCGATTCTTACTTGCAAAACCATTTCAGATACCTAATTATGGAAACTATTTATGTGACGTTCGTATTTTTCTTCTAACCCTACTTCAAATGAAAAGTTTGTTAAAACACCATATTAATTATACATGGTATTATGCATATTTCAATACTATGACTGAAAAGTTAAGGATAAGTTGAAGTGAAATTTGACTCCTTGGCAGTAGAAGTCATTTCTAGTAGTCATGAAAGCATAACTCACTTTTCCTTTAAGAGCTTTTGATAAATCATTCCTGAGCCTAAACTATTATTATGATCTTAGAATTCTATAAATATTACAAAAAACTCCTTTCTGTAGTCATACTAGACATTGTACAAATACCTGTGTTGTTTTTATTGCTAGTGAAGCTTTTACAAAGGTAATACTTTAATAATGGTTTGGTTTAGCACAATGAGCGTCCTGATTTTGATAAGCAAGCCTAAAACAGGTGTGTCAGATATCAGGGGAAATGCTGCTGCACACAGTTCTGCTGTAAATAACTGCAGGGCTGTACTGCTGCTGCTGAGGCGTGCACTGCAGGCCAAGACGTGCCAGCATCACCCCCTTGGATCCTCCCCGCACCCCCGTGAGACCGGGTGTTCACCCCTCGGCTCACAGTGTCCCCCAGCGAGCAAGTGGCAAAGCCAGTGTTCTCCCTGACTCTAAACCCTTACAGTTGATCACATAGCTTCTGAAATCATCACAGCAGCCCTGCAAGAGTGCTGTCCATCATTTGGGAAGTGAAGTGAGTCTTTGGTGTCACGTGCCTGGTAAATAGGTGCTCAAATCACATCTGTGCCCCTCTCACACTTAGGTCCTTTCCCCTCTGTCACGCCACATCCTTACGTGTTCGGAATTTGTAACCACCTGTGATGACACTAACTTGCCACTAGCAGATTGGTCTTTGCTAGTTTTGTTATATTATTCGGTATTTTCAAAGAGAAACTCTCATCCTATAATCTGAAAGATTAAGACATCTGAAAGCTTAAGTAGCAAGTTCCATTTCGAGCAAGGGAGGAAATAAACGAATATTTCCTTTTGCATAGTTGCAAAGTAGAAAAAACTATGAAATACATGTGATTATATAACTTTTTCAATTTTACTCCAAAGAAAACTGTGCAAGAAAAAAACGAAAAAGGAAAGAAAGAGGGAGAAAAGAACACTTGGAAAAGCCACTCTGTTGGTGCTCGGTTCTGTTACTTGGAGAAGAGGTTGTAGCCCTGGGCCCGTCCCGTCCACCACTGTTAGTGACGGCTGCACGAGGAGGTGAACTGGGAGCTGGACAGGAAGCCGCAGCTTACCTTTGATACTGTCCAAATGCGTCTCAACCCTTTCGCAACTGGAGGGAATGTCCATTACGTTTGCCTCTCTTAACATGTCAGTGGAGAGGCTCCTTTGAAATGGAAACGGAATATGTCAGACGTGGTGATGAGTTCAAAGTTACACACTGTGACCAAGAATTAAGACATGTTTCTCAAAATCGAAGGTGTCTTAAAAAAACTACAACATTCCAATATTTTCGCATTTTTTGTGTTCTTTTCCCCAGATGCTTTGGCAAAGCTACCAGGTAATAGTCTCCTGGCCCATAACTCCGTTGTTCTTTAAACATGCTGTCTGGCCATGTATTTGTTTTTATATCAAAACATTTAGGAGAAAATGTAAAACTTAACAGTTTCATCAAGCCAGTCATGTTATAAGTGGGAGATAAAACTCTTAATAACTTTTAAAGCCTGGCAAAGAAAATAGGCGAAGCAAAGAATAACAGTGATAACCAGTATGCTTGGAAATCTGGTCGTAGATGCATGGAAACACCAAACTGGGAGGCGGTGGATTTATTTAATTAAGACGTGCATCGTGGCCACTGTGGACCAAGTGTTGTCCTAAACCCGTCCCAGTACTAATCTGGCGCTCCTCCTAATCCCGTTGCTTGGTACTCTCGTCTGCTCCCAGCGCCACACACACTGTCTCGGGAGTGGCAGGAGTCGGACTCCAGCAGCCCTTGTTACTGCGCTCTTAGCACCGTGTTGTGCTGCTTGGTCAGCAGAACCACTGACGAAGGGTCAGTGTGGAGACCGCGATGAAGTACAGAGCCCAGTGACAGAGGGACCTGCACTTCTGTAGGGGGAGAGGCTCCATGGATCCTTTGTGTGATCCTTCTGACCCTCCGCTTCTGCCTCTGTAGGGATGGGACTAAAACCCTCCTTCAGACGATTAGCAGTAACATGTGGCAACCCAGTTCTGGCACGTTGGCACCCTCACTGTTTATGCCTGAAACAGACCTCTAGAACTGAGACTTTGAACAGTGTGTCAGTCAGTGCTTGCTAGAGAAGCAGATTTAACACAGGATGTACAGATACGGTGCTGCCTCGGTCCCGATCTCAGTTCTGTCCACGGTTCTGGTTGCAAACCAAACGGAACAAGAACAAAATCAAATTTCCTCATAAGGTCAACATTGAACCTAACCATTGAGTTTGATTCGGTTCTTGTCTAATTGTGTTTGCATCCAGAATCGTGGAAAGAATCAAGTTCATGAACCAGGGTACCGCTGTGTACAGTATAGATTTACAACAACCGCCCAGAGTTGGGTGTGGAAGAGTGCAAGAGCGCGTGCAATCTGAAGGACCTAGGGGAAGGCCTGGAGCTCAGGGTATTGTGCCGTGCAGGGCCATATGGGGAGGCTGAAGGGTCTGCACTGGAAGCCAGGAGATGATAGCCAAGGTGCAGGTGAGGACTGGAGCTCCTCCGAAGAGACAGAAGCGAGCATCTCTTCTGCATTTCCCACTCATTCCCTTTTATTCCACTCAGGCGACAGCCCTGTTGGTTGGTGCCACTCACACCCAGGGTGGGTCCCCCCAGCCACCCCAGCGCTACCCTGATGCAGTTTAGCTGGGCTTTCCTGCTCAGGCTGACACAGTTAACTGTCACAAACAGATCAGTCTGCAGAAACTAAGGAGTAGTCTGCCAGAGGGGTTGAGAGAGAGGCTCTGGCTCCGTGGTGGAGCATGCGCTGACTATTCTCACGGCCCTGGATCGGTCCCCAACACAAAAAGTGAAAATGAGAACGAGGGAACTCGTCAGTGTCCTGGCTTTTTTAGTGAGGAGCATGAGTAGGGTCTTCGCATGGAGCAGTCGAGAGAGAGCAGGCGTGGCCGAAGTGAGTTCTCCACTCACATCTCAGTAGCATCGCCATTTGTAGCAAAACTCAACTTCAGATACCAGTTTCCTTTCTGCCGTGACCTGTGCCGTCTCTGGAGACTGCACGTTTAAATGGTGATTGACGATTAGCGTCATTTAGCTTATACCTTGGTTCAGCAGATAGCGCAGGCACTGTTCTAGGCATCCCAGGGGACCCAGGGTTGAACTTGACAAAGTCCCTGTCCCGCGGAGCGCTTTCAGTGATGTGAGAGCTGGGGTGAGGCAGAAAGCACCATCTGTAGGTGCGGAGCTTGAGCTTGGGGGTTGCTGGTAGTTTGTGGCAGGCAGGAGTCAGAAATGTAGTGTGACATCCTTGGGAGCGGCGTCAGATCATAAACATCTACAGATAGGGAACGCTAGATTAAACGCCTCTGAGACATCTTCATCTCCTCGCGGGTAAACCAGCCAATCATGGTTCTTCTTTCAGTTATTAGCATTCTGTCAGACGTGTACAGTAATGATTAGTTACCCTCTATTGTACTTTTGGCATGCTTCCCATGTTTAATCTCATTGTAAGGAAGGAACACATAGTTAAAGAAATTGCAAAGAGAGAGAAAAGTTAGAAGAGGGAAAATAATGACGTAGATTCAAAACTGATTTTGATGTACTGTTACAGTAACTTTTGCAAATAGGGTGAATGAGGATGATTTGTAGATTTGCATTCAAAACATTTTGTGTTCAGCCCTGCAGCTTTAGACATGAATGTTTTATTTACTTTGCATTAAAGATTATTTCCACAACAACACAGGAAAAATGACAAGCATACTGTGAAGCAGAGGTATAAAAATAAATTCTGAAAATCTTAAGAAAACACTAAAATTATTTGCCAAATGTATTATGAATGCCTGAAAACGTGTATAGTCTTAAACAGTTTCGCCTGTGGAGAAACAGTATTAGTCCTCACGTAGCCTGTCTGCGGAACGCAGTTTCAGCGTCTGCTGAGAATTGGAGCAGTGTGTCCGGCAGTGCTTCCCAGAGAAGCAGATTGAATACGCTGTACACTGACAGTGCTGCCTCGCTCACAGGGCCTGGGGACACAGCTCTGGTAAGCCCAGACTTTGTTCCACCCCGCACTGTGGAGGAAAGCA